GTGCAAGGGTATTCTAGTGCAGTATCAGGTTATATTGATTACTGTATTATAAAAACATATCAGTCGTTCAGGGTGCTAGCATCAACGAACATTTTCTTCCTCTACTTAAACTAGAAGTGATCCTAAAGTAACTGCTTGAAAGAATAGATTAAAGGTGAATTGCCAAAAAGCTTACATTCAAGCCATGCATGTTTTTGAATGATCAGAAATGTTGGGGAGTCTATATTTTAAATTCCCTACAGTGTGGAAGCAGGCCATTCGTCCCATATCAACCCTCTGAAGAGCATCCCTCCCACTCCCGTATCCTATAACCCTGCATTACCTGTGGCTAACTGGCATACCCCTAGACACGATAGGTAATTTAGCATGGCCAATCCATCTAACCTGCACAACTTTGGACTGTGGGAGGAAACTGGAATATCCAGAGGAAATCCACACAGACACAGGGAGAATGTGCAAACTCCACACAGACAGTTGCCTGAGGGTGGAATTGAACCCAGGTCCCTGCTGCTGTGAGGCAGTAGTGCTAACCACTGTGCTGCTCCTCTTGTTACTTTTTCTGTGACAATGTCTCAACCAATGAAAGTTGACTAGCAAACCAATCATTACCCTTTTCTCCTGTAGTCTAAATCATTTCGGTCATTTAAAATTTGACATTCTTGTGTTATTTCTGATAAGTGCAAGTGAAAAGCTTTGGCAACATGTCTTTCTTTCCCACAATATATTCTGTTTGTTAACAGAAATGGATATTGTATTCTCACGACCAAGAAATGCTGTCCCCTCATGAACAAGCGAAATTTGACTTTATGACTGCATCAGTTGCTTCTGAGTCCCTGTCATTGGCATTGATACTGCAGTGCAATTGAATGTATACTGAGGATTGACTATTTTTACTCCTTTGGTGACACTGAATTCTTTGCAATTCAAATAGAAATTGCTAAATGGAAATTTTACCCTTCAAGATCTGATTTCACAGAAGAATATTAAGTTTAGTAAACCATTTGAATGTAATCATTAAGGTTGTCTAAAAAATTTCTCAGATCTAAGATGGAAAAATGGTATCAGAAAATGCTGATCAGTCCATTCCTTTCAGCAACCAGTGATTAATTTATGCCATCATAGACTCTTTACAATTTACTTAGTGTCCACAGGCAGCTGAATAACCTCAGGTAAAGGATAAAATTCTGAAATTTCTTCCTGATCTCCCAAGTTAATCAACATAACAAGAACCTAGAGAATATTCAATGTTTAGAGCCTACATCTTGTGTTCGTTGCCCTGTTTACTAAATAAATTGACAGTAGACAGTGTAATTTGCATCATACATGTGGCAAATAAAAATATAAATTTGTTAATACTTTGATAGGGTATGTATACAAAAAAATTGGAACTCAAGAAACAACTTTTTTTAATTTACATATTCATGAGATATGGGTGTTAATGGCAAGGCCCAGCATTCATTGCACATCCCTAAATGCCCTGGAATTAAATGGCTTGTTTGGCCATTTCAGAAGGCAGTTAAGAGTCAACCATATTGCTGTGTCTCTGGAGTCACACGTGGGACAAATTGGGTAAGGGCACAGATTTCTTCACTAAAAGATATTCGTGAACCAAATGGGTTTTTACAATAATCGATAGTAGTTTCATGTCAACCTTATTGAGACTAGCTTTATATTCCAGACTGATTCTTTGAATTTAATTTCAACCAGGTGCCGCATTGGCATTTGAGCCTGTGTTTCCACAGCATTAGTCTGGGCTTCAGGATTATTAGTCCAGGGACATGATCATGATTCTCTCAGCACTGTTTTATTGAGTAAGTTCACAATTATCTGTGTCAGCCTGTATGAAAGGAAGAGGAACAGGAAATTAATCCCAACAATGTGAATTCACAAAACCATCATATTTTTTCAGGGACCACATTTAAATTTCTATCTATGTGGTTCAATGGGCCTGTTAAAGATTAAAAATAGATAAATACATTATTTAAGTGAAGACAACGTCCTTCCCACTTCAGTTTCACAATCCACGATTCATTCCCCAGCGTTTTTAAAATTAGACCTAAATTACAGAAGAATGGTAAATGTGCTTTTGGCCTAAAATATGTCAGGTTTCAATTAGACATTTAAACTAGCTTTGCAAAAAAAAATTCTGAAAGCGTAATGTTGCTGTTCCAGCAGCTGGAGACTTAGTAAAGAATTAATCCCAGTCCATTCAGTAGATACAGCATGTAAATGAGAAAATAGTGAATAAAACTTATTTTACAATCTTTAACAAGAGCAGGCACTTACAATATGTGCTTTAAAATGATTCGCAAGTTGAATTATCAATGCAACTTGGGAAAGAGTTGCTCAATTTCGATTTGTAACAGAATGAAGAATATTAACATGGAACGCTTGTGCTGTTCTTACTTTGCTTAACAGACATACACCACAAATTTTACTAAATTCCCAAAGGCTTAGCACATTCATATAAATAGAGATAACAAGGTGTAGAGCTGGATGAACACAGCAGGCCAAGCAGCATCATAGGAGCAGGAAGGCTGACGTTTCGGGCCTAGACCCTTCATCAGTAATGGGGGAGGGGAAGGGGGTTCTGAAATAAATAGGGAGAGAGGGGGAGGCGGATAGAAGATGGATAGAGGAGAAGATAGGTGGAGAGGAAACAAACAGGTCAAAGAGGCGGGGATGGAGCCAGTAAAGGTGAGTGTAGGTG